GTGAGTTCACCCTCAGTGCCTGTGACTGTCAGGGTGATGGAGATCTTACTATCTGTGTCAGGAGAGTACATCGGGAATCCAGTTACAGCATTTAGCGGAGCACAGGCCTGGAAGCCTTTAATAAGCACACGTGTGCTGCCCCCTGTGACACTGGTGCAGCATGCCCATTCCCCTCGGTCATCGGGTTCCCTGCTACTTAATTCTTGGTGTCCGTTTGGGTGGGTACAGTTTGGCTGTCTGTCTTGACCCTCTCCCTCTGTATATCCCAGTCCTCCCTGTCCTTCTCCACAGTGCCCTCCCAGATAGCCCCAGCTCCGTGGACACCCAGGCTTGTTGGTCTCTGCCCCAGTCCCTGGACCCCTCTCAAGGTTCCTGAGGACAGGAATCACAAACAGGAATGGAAACCGTGTGCAGTGATGAGCAAGTTCCAGTCAAGAGGAGCCTTGGGTTTTGTGGAGGAAGGCACTTGCCTGCTGGGATTTGAGCTGGAGGGTCAAGGCCTCTGGGTTTAGGGGGCCTCGTGTACCAAGAGCAAGAGGAGCTGGGTGGGCTCGGAGGGGGTCTGAGTGAGGTGCGCCTGGAGCAGAGTTGAGGGAGAGAGCAGGTGGAGTGCTCACTGGGAAGCAGATACTAGTGTCTGTGTGAAATTTCTGACTCATTCCTTTGCTTCAAGGCCTTGGATAAGGATTAGCTCTGGGTTGGAAAATCTAGTCACAAGATGCTCACATTCAGATCCAAGAGGCCCGGATCATGAAGGTTGCCATGACTCACTTTCAAGTGGTCTGGATTCTTCGCCAAGTTTACTCCTTATAATAACAAAAAAAAGGGAGTGAGGGGAGGCTCAGGCATTTCTCTCCTTCCTGAAAGAATTGATCCTTTTTTCTCTCTTATCCGTATCTTGCAGAAGAGCCCAAATTGCCACCTTTCTGGACTGTACCCAGATTTTCCAGCTTGCGGATCCTACTCCGCCAAGCCTGCAGGTCAAGCAGTAGTCAGCCAGCTTGTCCAGTTTAGGGGCTCAGCTCCTCCTGCCTCCCCCATAATTGTGCTCTCTTGGGTGAATCACATGAGCTCAGCTGACCAGACAGCTCTGGCTCTGTGTAGGGATGAAATCCCACCCCAACCCCAGCCGGCCCAGTAAAACCACAGTTGCAAAACAGATGCTCATGTGGAAGCTTCTCTTTGAGGGTCTGTCTACGGATTCAAAGTGTCCAGTTCTCCTTCTGAGAAGGTGGACCGCTCTGGTCACCGGCCCTGTCACAGTACCTGGGATAAGGCAGGCAAAGTATTTGGCTTCCTGGAGTCGGTGCAGCGGTGGCCGTGGGACTTCATCCCGGGAGAGGGGAAGGAAGGAAGAGCAGAAGCAAAGCCACGCGAGCAGCACTGCTGTGTCCACTCTGTGCCAGAGGAGTCCGCTCAGCAGAGATGCTGTGTGTGCGACTCGAGGCAGGAGAGAGTGTGTGCTACCACTGATCGTGAGGATGAGGCAGGGCAGGGCCGCACTGGGCTCTATTGTGTCGGGGCCCCAAGCACAGGGCGTGTGACTCGATGGGCAGCTAGCACTGGCCAGCCAGAAGTCCGAGACCTTTGGAGAAGGTTGCTTTCCTGTGGC